ATCTAACAGCCAGTCAGGGTGAAAGTGAAGGTGAAAAAGAAAAACAAGCGAAGAAAAGGACAGATCTGCATTCATGAAAAGAACAAGGGAGAGCTGCTATGCAAACGGCATATCAGGAAAACATCAATGGGTTGCTATGCCATTGTGGTTTATGGTGTCTAACATACTGGCTGAACAATGGTTGTAGGAGAAAGACCAAGGAAACAAGGCAAGGCACAATCCCTCAGGGGCTGACCAGCTCTGGACATGTTGAAGATTATTGATAGCGCCTGACCGGAGCTTGACGGTTCCTAAGCATGACTACTGGAAGCTTTTCAAGAAGGCGATGGATTTGTGTCATGAAAAGGCAGCGTCAGAAGCTGCGATTTGATGGACACAATTGTTTCCACTTTAAGGAGATCCGAGGGTTTGTGTTTGACGGCTGCTTGATGTTGGGCATTATGACTGTAATCTACATAAGGATCTGAAAAAGAAAGGACAACCAGCTGCGTGAGTAAATAGGCTGCCTTGAAGCGTTCAGCCCAGGGATGTCATTGGGACACATGGGCAAGAATTGGATAGGAAAAGTATGAATTAAAAGATCTGCCATAGATTACTAAGAACTGGATGAACAAAAATCCAGTTCACTAACAATGCGAGATGGACAGAATGGGTGAAGAAATGGCAGCTGAAGAGTGAATAACGAGTAAGGATGAACAGGAAAGAAATACAAGACGGTGCTGATAAGTTTATGTACGGTTCAGTATGAAGGGCTGCAGCTTGACACGATTGAATATGAAGGGATATAATGAAAATACTGGTCCTAACGAGAGGTAGTAAATGCAGTAGCCCTAATATAAACCTGATGTGACTGCTGGACCTGGAGTCGTATGGCCACGAAACTCGAAGGCTTACTGCTGTGATAGTCGCTGCTAAGAAGAAAGAAAGATAGGGTGTTCTTGAAGGAACCACTGACATTCCATGACAAGGTTTAAAGGCTAAGGAAAGCAGTTAGGGAAATGTCGAAGTGTCGATGTAAGGGAACACAGCTATACAGCGATAAGGAGCTGTCTGAACATTATAGCGTTTTGCCAAGACGTTGGCAGCTGTCAAGGTGACTCTAAGTAGTGAGCTAGGGATGCTGGCAGAAGACACCAAAATGACCTGGCAATTATGCACCTGCCAAAGCATTAAGCTGAGCGGTGACTGCGATTGGGGCGACGCACGGAACCAGGTCGCAGTGCATAGGAGAGCTGCCACCGTATGAGGATTATTCTGATGATAAAACATGACCTACGGGGCAGTACGGAGGATGCCCGACGGTCAGGCTAATTCGTAGCACTAAACCACTTGAAAGGGACTTTTGAATACGACTGAAACTCAGCTCTAGTCTGTCACAGCCCTCCCCAGGCTGGACGGGACGAGAATGAGCTTGATGCATTCACCTATACTTGCGTATTAGTGAAGTAGTTTGACTGACATCCATATTTGGATGTCGTACTGTGATGAAAAGCGACCAATCTGTGTTGCATTGGCCTCCCATGTGCACGAACTAATACTGCCAAGGGTACGGAGACAGCCCTGTAGGTTGCCCAGTGCAACTGGGCCTTTTTTGATGTGTCACATGCACTGACAGCCGAGTCAGCCGTACAGAGCCGCGGGAAACCGGCCCTGCACCTGAGAAGCCTCCGCTTGAGACCCCCACGGCCTGGGAGGCTTGCGCATGGCGCGCAAGGAAAATTCGAACCGCGCAGATGGTACAGACTCATTCGTGGAACCATGGTGAACGTGCTGAATGACGCGGCTCCCCTCGAGCCGGACGGGATGCTCAGAGGGGCTGGAGAGTGTGGTCTAGTTTGGATCCCGCGAGCCAACGGCCTCTCCACCGACCGCCAAAGAGAGTTTCGAGCTGCTGTGGAGGGTCAGTAGGCAGCAGAAACGGGGGCGGCGTTGGCGATGGCGGGCCAGCCCCTGACGCGGTAGGCGCGAACAGCGAGGGCCTCGGATGGCCAGCCTCCAACGCCGAAAGCGAGGCGGCGGCAAACGCGAGCTTGGGGGTACGGCAGACGCGGAAGCGGAGCGCCTTGACGGGGCGCACGACGAGCAACTGACGGACGCAGAGGCACCTTATACCGGTGACGACACGGCGTACTTAAGCACAGCGGGAGGAAGCTACTGAGCATGCGCAAAAAGCATGGTCAAGATGGCCATGCGGACGATGAACGGGCAGAGCCAGAAGTTGCGGGGAAGTGGCAGTACGGAACTGGCCCGTACTTAGTAGGTGTATCAGGGGGATCATAGGGGAATATTCTGACAATTTAAGGAATCTTATTGTATAGATTAGGTGCTGTACTGAATGGTGAGCTGAATGATTTTAAAGTACAATACTAGGGGACTTGGGACCTGAGCGGGCTGAATTGAGTGGTTCCAAGTGATGTGAGTATCATGATCCTTTATGATCTGATCGATGTTGAGAATCTTCCTGGGAATCTTCCTGGGATATTCCTAGACAGGGTGCAGCCCCTTGGGATATAAATAGCGGGGCGGGACCCCAGTTGAACAAGCGAATCCGAACTGACCAGTTCTGGAGCCAATAGGCGAAGGAACTAGGGGATTGAAACTGAACTACAAAGTTTGTAGTACAGGCTGTGGTCCGCGGAGGGCCACGTTGTAATCGATTTCGGATTCCTTGATCAGTTCTGTGTCTTATTAAAGGGAAATTTGGCTTAATTACAGCCCTGTCTATTGGGAAAGCCTGCGGGGCCCCAAACCGGCTGCAATTCCAATCAACTCTCTTGGACTGGATCCTAAAGTATTGAATTCGCGAAAATATACAATCTATATATAGCGATTCAGAGAACCTTTAGTGACAGCGTTTGAGTACATTGGCGCACCGGACTACAAACTGGCCTGGGCTCAACTGGAAGCAAAAGGACAGAAGGGTGAGTAATCAAGGTAGGGTGAATTTGAATTGACGTCATTTGCAGCCAAGACCAGTGTATAATCGGTGAGGTACTGCCTCGGTGAGGTCCAGTACTAAAAAGGAGACAGAGGCTAAAACAGGGCCAGTTTGTTACAGGATTAAGAATATACAAATCCCCATTTGTAGCCATACAATCCCTGCCAGATGAAAACCGCAAAGCATGAGTCAGACTGGCAAAGTATATAGAAAAATAGATCAAGCAGTACAAACTAAAACTCCCGCCACAACAACTACATCCTCACGGTGTCCCCCTGCTCCTTTGAAGGTCAACCTGCAGAGAGACACACAGGAAACTCAGAGACACTCACTGACTGAGAGGCAAGCTCGGCAGCTGTGAAAAAGTTGGAAAGAGTTGTCTGCTAAAGTTACTGATAACTGAGAGGTGTATGGGCACATAGAATCAGCAAGAAACTGGACATCAAACTGTATGCTGACGATGTGCTGATCTCGTTTGACGGTGTCCAAAATCCTGGAAAACATATAAAGGATTGGACAAGAGTGTTTATAAACCCTAACCAACTGTCCCAACTTTGTAAGGCAGTTGGTTCTGCTCTACTAACCCTAACTAGTATCAATTTGATTGTCCAAGAACCAGTATTGACAGCGAGGGCTGCAAGCCTGATTCAGAAAGTAGGTGAACTGGTCGGGCTCCTTATTTGCCCTTTAATGCGCGGGGAATCTCTCCAGCTTGCCAGTCTGGCCAGGGAAATAGCCAGACTGAAAGGGCAATTGAATTTTCTGTGGAATTCTGAGCGCGTAAGGCGCTGCCAGAATAGGCAGGAAAGGGACGCAGCACCCGTCACGTCGCAGCCTGTGGCGGGTGTGATTGCTGGTCCAGTCACCAGCCCAGTCCACTTTCAGCTGGCCTGTGCATTTGCAGCTGGAGGAGTAATAGGTTGTTGTGTGTCCTTGGGATCCCTTTGTTTGGGGATCTGGATTGGGCATATTCTCTAGAGTGTATACACGTGGCCGTGACTCATCAGCCTTAACAGGTAGTCACACGTAATGGCCAACAGGTAGTCACATGTAATGGCCATTCAACATAATGAGTTTTGATTCAGGTCTCACTCAACATGTTTGCCACACAGGCACGAGTCCTGCTCTTCAACAAGGACCACAGTGTCATCACGATACGATGCTAGTTTCAAGCCCACGAAGGAGTCACACTGTTTTGGACGAAGTGGCTTGCGGTGTCGGGGTTCACATACTCGGAAAATGCAAGCGTAGTAGTTCCAGGAACCGACCGCCATTGCATGAGGGCACATTCGCTCACATCTCTGTGCTTATTGATCACGCTCCCAATGTCGAAATAATGTCCTCTGTTCTTTGGCGTCACCGGCCATTGTCGGTCCAACGCCTTTTCGGCGGCCAGGAATCGATATGCTTACAGACGGCCCTGCATCCCTGAAGGAATTATGGACAGATTGATAGCCTGATTGCCTAACTGACTGGCTGATTGGGTGAGCGACTGAGGCGCCTCCAAAACAACAAGCAACAGGCTTCTCTTTGTTTTCGTGCTCTTCTACGTTTGGCAGCCAGCCATGCGCAGTTTTACCCTGGGTGAACGGCATAAGACGACCATGAACAGTTCCGAAATGCAGAGCAACTTTATGACCACTGCGCAGAATAAAGCCTGTCAATCAGTGGGTCAGTCAAGCACTCAAGAACACTACATATCGAGGGTAAGGAAGTAACCGTCAGCTATCTCGCTCAACAAACTGACATTGCCCGCAGAGTGTCACAATCCGCGTTTCCTCATTTCGAACAAACGACAGGGAGAAAACAAACAACAGTGGTGACCTTCGGCCGCTGGCGGGCGGCCGGCCTCGCTTCAGCCCACTTGCCAAACCAATCACCCCGCAGCTGTCGCCACCCCTCGCGGCACCACAGCGCACGCCCACAACCAGCCCCAAACTCATTGCTGATCATCATCGTCGTCAGCATTTTTAAGTAACAAGGCAATGAGGTAGCCGGCAGCTACCTAGTCATCACGGATCCAGTCATTGGAGTCATACAGTAATTATCTAGTCATTACAGATCAGGCAGCCGGTGTCCGCCCGCGGCGCTGCGCCTGCCCCGAACCATTCTCCTCATCTCCGGACTCATTTCCGCCGGTTGTCCGCCACGCCTCCTCCCCAGAAGACGTCAGCTCGAGCCCGCCGGGCGCCGACGACCCGCCCCCGTCCTCCTCCCGCCCCAGCCTCGCGTATTGCCGCCCCTCGCTGCCCCTGTACGGATCCCCCGCCCGCGTGTACGTCCCCACGCCCACGCATACCAACCCCCACGCCACCAGGAACCACCAGATCGAACCCCCGCCAAAGCCGTCGAAAAAAATCAGCCGCGCGATCACAGCCCAGAAGTTGGACGCGAGGAGCGACATCTGGAGCACCGCGGCCCCGGACCACGCCAGGACGGCCGGCATGAGCGAGTAGAACGCGAACATGGCGGCCACCACGCCGGATCGAAGCCAGTCGGCGTGCTTGGCCCCCGTCGGGCCGCTCCACAGCTCCCCGAGCAGCAAGGTGGCCACGCCGCCGAAGAGGGCGCCGAAGGCGCCCAGCATCGCCAGGAGTTCCTTCGCGGGGGCGTCCTCCTTGAGGATGTACTCCTCCCAGACGGCGTTCAGGCCGTAGAGCGCGGATCCTGTCAGCAACATGGCATCCCCGAAGACCAGGTCGGCGGTGCGGGCATCTGGAGCGGGCGAGCGATCGGCCAGGAAGAGCACCAGGACGCCGGCCAGGGACAGCAGCACGCCGGCGGCGTGGGTGGGGGAGTAGCGGGCGCGCAGGAGCCAGCGGGACAGGGGGACGACTATGAAGAGGTTGGAGGCGGTGATGAGGGCGTAGCTGGTGACGGTGGTGTACTGGAGGGCGAGGATGGTGAGGTAGGTGGCGGCCACGTCCAGCAGGGCGATGCCCGCGTAGTTGTGCCACCTGCAGGCATTGAAGGCCAAAAGTCGGGATGAAAAGGTTGAATGGCACAGGCAGTGAAAGGTTGCTGCCCTTCTGTCCAGTGCTGCGGTGATTCCATCTTTTGTCGTGCGCCCAGGACTGCTGCTCTGACTTACAGTATCGAAAAGAGTCTCATTGAAGTCTGCTTGAGGCTGGGATGCTCTTGGCATGCATCGTTTCCATTCTACTCAATGACTCCATCCTCCGCTGTCCAAGAAACATTGCATCACCCACTCACCTGCCAAACCCAACACCTGGCAATGTGGCCAGGCACAAATCTGGCAGGTCTAACACGCTTAGCAACGCTTGGCACTTTCTCACACTTTCTGTCGATGATTCTGTGGCCGCCAACTGCAGGTCAGAGCACCTTGCACTACCAGGCCGTGCCAAGAACATAGGAAATCATGTCTGGAATTACCTGTTACGGAGGCCCTGGCGGGAGGTCAGCATGGCCAGGCCATAAACGGCAGCTAGCAGAGCATAGTTAGCTGTGGCAAGGGTCATTGGCATCGAGGCATCATCAAGTGCCTGTGCACAAGAACCTGCAGCAAAGAGCAGCTGAGGTTTGGGAAGATGTGTGGAAGATGGGCGGAAGGGCACAAGGGGTGGGGATGAACGTGGCGCAGTCAATTTGCAAAAAGTAAGCACTTCCATGCATGAGACCCTTTCGAGCCAAGGGACTAGTCTGGGAGCTTGGCACACCTGTGAACGTCTGGTTTGATAACTGTTGAACATTGACAAGCCGCTGGTAGCACAGCAACATCTTTTCACATAGGTGTACGGTTTGTCGTTCGGCACTGGCTCCCAGTACGGCCTTTTGGAAGGTGTGGTGCACAGGCCACGGCTGCCTTACATTGTTTTGCATTAACAACATTTTCACACACCTGTTCATGCAGCGCAACACCCCCTCCCCAACCGCTCCCTCCCAATTCCTTGGTACATTTGCCATTGCACCACATGCTGCATTGTTTGCAGTGTGTTTTCCTTTCACACGGACGCTTCCGCTTCATCATTCCCAGCATGGAAAATAGTCTCACACATCTCTTTACTCATAATGTGAGTGCCCGCTACGAGTTTGCATTGCTTACGTGCATCCTTACAGTATCGTTTTTGTCCCAGAGAATTTCGTGCTTGTCACACGCAGCTCATGTATCCAATGTGCTAGGTACCTGAAAGCACCACAACAGCAGCACACATAGTGTGTCCCTTGATGCAATACCCTAATCGTTGCAGAACTTCTGGTGGACTGGTTTGCATTCCAGGAACCTTGTGCTGCATCATTGAACTTGTATTTGCAACATGACTGCAGTTGTATCCGAAAGGCACAGGGTTGGAGGTAGGATAGAAAAGATGGAGACTGGCAGTCTGCAACGATGTGTGCAGCGAAATGATAGGAAAGCACTATGCAGCCCTCTCAAATGTTCAAAGAACATGTGCAGCTAGCATTGATGCTGAAAATGTCCTGTGTCAGAATCAGTGACTGTGGATCTGCTTCAAGATGGCTTGCTTAAATTCTTGTCCAACATGGAACACTCCAGCAAGGACATTCTCTGTGCCATGTTTGTCATTTGACAGAAGGCACATTAAAAGCACACAGGGCCACAAAGACTGGATGTGGCTATTGTGCTATTGACCCCACCTGAGACAGTACCCACAACAGCAATGATCTGACCAACAGCAATTCCAAGAGCCCATCGGTGCCTGGTCAGTTTTTCCATTGCTGACTTGGCGCTGTCCATGTCTGGCCCTGATCACAAGAATGCAAGAATGGTCACTAACATCAGCAGCATACATGGCACCACCACATCCAAGCACACCAGGTGCGTCACTATTGCAGGGGTGAAAGGTTGGTTTATCCATTGCTGTGAGTATCCTTGGCCCTGAATGAGCACCTACTCTGGGGACAATTCAACCAGGAATCCTACCTTGTTTACAGATGTTCAATCGACAAAACAGTGCTCTTGAACCTAATGGTGGAAAGGACAGGCACACTTGAGGTCCAATTTGCTCTCAAGTAATGAGGAAAACGGTGTGTATCCTGTTGGCACTGGGTGCCAGTGGCCGTTAAAGGATAAATGCAAGGACGCAACACAACGCTTTTTAACCACAAGAGTGTAGGACTCCAAGTGTGTTGTTCCCATGTATGTTGAATATCAGCATGTCATCAACACGGTTTACATGGGGTATGCAGCTGGCTGTGCACCAATTTGTGGCCAAAACTAATTTGACGGCACAACAAGAACAAGTATGTTGGAAGGTAGGAAGCTCTCACAGCAACCATTCTTCAACGATCTGAGCTGATGATTCAGCATGACTAGGCGGGGAGACGTGCGGTAGAAGGAGCCCATCCCCAAGCAAAAAAATGTGAGACTCTGTTCCACACCATGAATGATTGTGCAGAAGTCTCCAATGGCAATATGAAAGCACACAACACCATGAACGAGGGCAGGCAATCCTGCTTTGGCTCAGGTTTCCACCTCACATCTGCCACACGCCAGGTCTTTATCGCGGTACATATGACATCCAATTTCCGACGGTCACCGTGCATCTAAATTGACAAATATTGCAACCACGGTGTCATGTCAGCGCCAATCACATGCAAATTCCAGGATCTGAAGTGGGTAAGGTGAGCATGGCCGCATTTGCCACGTTGATTCTGCCCCTTCCATTGACAGTTTGCTGTCATCTGCCCAGCGTCGCCAGCCACCACTAAACCATCATGCCCATGTCCGCACCCGCAGCGCTCAACATGGCCTTGCCGTCGAAATCCTTGTTGCTTGCCCGCCCCACAGCCCGGCTTCGACGGCGGCCCACGGCCCCGATCGGCGCCAGCAATGCACACCGCGAAGGGCAGGCCGCAGGCTGCTCAGCAGCGCGGCACGTATGGTTGCCTCTAGCAGGCCGCGTCGGAAGACGATGGTGCACCGGCTTCACTGGCGCACCACGCTGTGGCGGCGCACGACCCTGCCCTATGGGAGGCGCCAAAATGCAGACCGGGCGGGTCATGCGCCGCCCGGCGGAGGATGGGGTGGGCCCCTGCTCCCTGGAACATTTTGTATGTTTCGTCCACGAACATTGCGCACTGCTGTAACCAGAGAACTTATTGAGTATTATTAACAGCTGAGCGCGTAAAGAAAAGAAGTGATGAGGCAATAGGAATTGCATTAAGGACATTGATGAACGGACTGCATACAAGGGACAGAACTCCTGTTGTCTCCTTTCTCGGCTGTAAACCGTTGCCGTGGACTTGAGCCTACAGTCCCCGTTCAGGTCGCCTCCCCTCGACGCTGCCTGCCTTCGTCAGCACCAATAGCCAAGGGTCATTCTGGTACCATGTAATCAGCATCCCCCGAGAGTAACACACTCTGTTCCCAAACATCAGGCCAACAACAAAGGCTTGGAAGGAAGCAAACTGCTGTGTGCGCATCACACCCAAGGCGCATATCTGGTCGAGTTTGCAAACTAACCGAGGTGGCCATCAAGCGGATTTACGGGGCTCCCCATCTCTTTGCCCGATGTGCTGTCTCAGCGGTCACGGATATCTAGTACATTGGACCCCAAGTTCTTAGAGGTTTCCAAAACGCCTACTTGCAGGTCACCATCATTTGGTAAACAAGCACAGTGAATTCTGCTCTTCTACTGAGCAAACAGTCGTCTTATTGACTGCATGTATGTTGGCTTGTACACGCTCGCACTTGGCTCATGCAGTGGAAATGTTGATGACAAATTTGGATCCATAGATGTCCGTTGCCATCAGCGTCAAAGCACAGCCCACGACCGTCGAATCAGTTCGCCACACACGCTACGCAGTGCTGGGAACAACAAAAAGATGTGGGCTAGATGGACATGAAGCCGTTGGCCTGGATGACCTCCAACTCGACTTGGCAGACTTGGCTTGTGCGACGAAACGGCTGTAAACTAACCAGACAGGTGGCGGTCATATGGCTCTGTTCAAATATGATGGCTCCCTGCCTGCCGTCTTAGTAAGTCCCCGCCAGGGGCTACAATTGGCCTTTGTCCCCGCCAGGCTTGGCTATCCTTGAAATTGTTCCCAGAACGCAACGACTCCACGGCCCACCTTCAAATGCATTCTGTGGAAAACAGCTTCCAAACTGCCAAAGGGACCACCTGCAAGAAACGTAGGTGTCAGGCGTCGCCCTACATATGCCTGGTGCTTCGCCAGTGCTCACCCAAGTATCCCTACCAAGGAGCTCATCAGTTGGATGTCAGCCATACATGGCCAAAAAGTGCTACACGCGGAAAGAGAACGAGAACTGTTGTGTGCATTTTTTTTGTGGCGTCACAGGATTGTTTTGACACAGAAGAACGTGGATGATCACAGCTGCAGATGCAAGCCCAAAAGGCCCAGCTTATCCCACAATTGTAATGAAATGTATCACCAAATTGAGCAAGGTGCCGTTCCACGTGCTGTTGGGGCTGCTTTCATCACAAACGTCAGGGCTGCTGCATCACAAGCTGTCATCGGCGATAACACAACAGAATCTCGACAAAACATGGCCTATAGAATGCTGTGCCAACAATCATTGATAGAATGGATAGAATCTCACAAAGCATTCCTGCAACCATGAGATGTCTCATGCTACAACGCATCCCACGCCCCCATTTCGGGGCCCATGCTGCACCATCTAGCCATCAACAGTCGCACAGCATCCACTCCACCAGCGGTCTGCCAGCCCAAATAGAGGTCACTCCACGTTGCCCTGCACGACGATGCATTTCATGAATTATTTCAAACATGCATCGTCCCTTTTATTCAGTCCCCCCTCCCCCCTCTCCCTCCTCAACCACCTCTCTGACAACAGCGAAAATCTATCCCAAAATAGTCCTTACCCGGGCCCAAGAGCTGGTCTATGGACTGTGGACGCCGTCCGGCTATATCATGGAATAGACGAGCACCGGGTCACACATGAATTTGGTGTTCAGACACACCACCTGCGTTCTCTCTGCTGATTGCGTACCCGCTTCCATCCATTTTGTGCTTTTTGCACCCCTTCAAGAATATAGACGCCGTGTCTGCACCCTATTCAGGCTTGCATCAGTAGTTCGCAAATCGCATTACAATCAACAAGCGATTATGCCCAGTGGACATTGGAGTGATGGCAAAGGACTGCAAGGTACCCCCCAATGCTTCTAGCGCAAGTCCCGCAACACGTTTCCTTGTACTGGACATTCCTGTTACCGCCATCTTCTCATGACCTCCACAGACCATTGCACCCATTGCGGAGTTGCGGATGCTCCCCCGTGTCCAGTTGGACAGTGCCGTGGAGCCGATGTTCGAAACCATTCGATCAGTGTGAATTGTGGCACTCTGACCTTGCAATGCATTTGGGCCATAAGAATTCACCCCCGGCCTGCCAGTAATTGATCCACCCGCGCAGTTGGGAGTTGCGAGTATAAGTACTGAATGTCGCCATCCTTCACGTCAGAAAGTTCCTGCGATGCGAAGAAATTGGTAAGAGATCATTGACAATCTATAAGTAAGGTCTAGTTCGCGGGTTGCTTGCGACCAGGCTTGGCCTTTATGGCGTAAACACTCAGTGTTTATGCACAGTTACGCGTGGAAATGGTATTTACGTTTTTGACGTGTAAAAACATGTAAAAGAACGTAAATTTTAACGCGGTGTGCATAAAGACAGTACATGCAGGTTTTGGAGTTAGGGGAGGGGCACCTAGACGCGCTGGATTGGGCAGAAAACAACCTTTCGTTCCACCACGTCTTCGCTCCTGCCCAGGACGAGGTGGACGCTGGGTAGTGAGAGCTTGCGGAGGCGGAGGACTGATCATTGTTTACGACTTGCCATGCTACCTGGGTGTCCAGACGAGCCATAAATACTACTCAAATACAGCCTAAAAATGGCCCCTTTGCAAATTTACGTTTTTGCGAGTAAGAACGCAAAAGTAAAGACCAGGCCTGCTTGCGACGCAGTGAAGGTGGGGGAGTCCCAACTTTCATGTATCTCAACAGTAGCCCTATTTTATGGAGACATGGTCACAATGCTATGGCAACTTGTTATGCGTCCTGTCTCATCAAGTGTTCCACCAAAGGCAATAACTTTGAACACATAAGTAGAAAACACAAGTGATGAAATTGTACGATCATCTACACACGCATTCAGTATTTTGTTTCCTTGCTTGCCAGCACAAAGCTGCCTTGCCCCTCAACTCGCACCCGCTTATTTCTGGCGCCGCTGTGCCAGATTCCCTAAAACTGTGCTCGCATTCTTTCCAGGACAATCAAACGCTGGCCGAGACAAGGTTGCGACGTTTTCAACGTGGAAATCCAAAAGTCCACTTTTGCGCAGGGAAATTGATGGCCCCTGCGTATTGGCGGTTTCCTGAGTTAGTGGCACCAGTCCATTCTTTTCTGCTAATCATTCAACTGCCGAAGAGTATCGCTGAAGAAGATATTCCTTCCTCTCTTTGGAAGGAGGTGCATGGTTGCCGGAGAAAGACGAAATCTTTGTGGTCAAATTTCGGTTCGCCCTAGCACACCAGACATCGCTCGTACGCAATTCCCAGCAACTAAATAATGTCCAAGAGTACGCTTCCATTCATGATTGGAGGTAATATGAGACGGACACTGCTTTCAGTGATAGTTGGGCGGAAGAGGACAAGCGCACCAGAAAGCCCATCATGAATTTGAACACGCGGCGCTGTGTGACCGACAGGTCAGGAAGGGCTGTGCCTTTGTCCAATACGTCGCCTGGGGTGTCGCCATTGATGTCCTTGATCTTCGGATCAGCTCCGCTTTTCAGAAGCAGGTCCAGCAGCTTCAGATTGCCGGAGGTTAAGACGAAATGCAATGGCGTTTGCAAGGTCTCCGTGGATCTGGGGCACGCAGGAACACATTGGCATTGACGGCAAGCATCGAAGACGACAAATCGCTGGCCTTGTCCCTGTGGATCACTTTTCTGGGGGGCGCATAGTCGACAGGCCGAATGGAGCCGTTCAGCGCAGCAATGCCAAGTGGGAGCACAGTTCCGAGATGCGCGTGGGGGTAAACAGCACATGTGAACAGCAACATTATGGAGCACAACGCGAATCAGCACGAGGCTTTCAGGTGTGGTGTCAAATCCCAGGTGGCTGGAGCAAGTTGGCTGAACTTTCACATTATTCGCCAACCCCGACAGCCACAGGCCTCAAGACACGACACGCGTATGTTTCCCTCACCTGGCATTCACGTCGGCTCCTGCCCCGACCAACGCCCTCGCGGTTGCCACATTTCCCCGCGCCGCTGCCACCATCAGCGGCGTTAGCCCGTCACCCTCCCTTACTTCCACCTGCGCCCCACCTTCCAACAGCGCCTCCACAACACTCCCATCCCCAAAAGCCGCGGCCCAGTGCAGCGGCGTCCAGCCATCAGCGTTGGTCGCCCCAACGTCCGCGCCCGCCCTCAGCAATTCTCTCACAACCTCTTCCCCACCTGGTGAAGCAATGCGCACAGTTCACAGATTTCATCGCAGCAGAGTAACCTAATTCAGATGTCCAGTGAGCCAGACATCCATGGTTACAACAATTCAGACATCCACACTTATAGCAATTCAGACACCCACGGTTTGAGCGGGCTTGCGAGATTGCTGCCCCTTGAACATGGGTGGGCCACTGTGAAATAAACGTTTCGTGGATGAAGAAATGTTTTCGAAGCTTAGGTGAGCATCATCACAGCTAAGGATGAACATTCGATGGAAACACACCACCAACACGATCTTCTCAAGCAAGAAGTGGGATTTATGTGCACGAAGCCACACAGCCAGTTCCCATTAACAACCGCATAGAATGGCGCACTGTGAGCAGAAATCAAGCAAGCCATATACGGCCAGGCTCGGTTTGGCCACTGCGTATGCAGTGAACAACTTAATCCTGAACAACTTTTCGGCATGTCTTTCTGCCGCACTAGGCAAATTCCCACCTGGAACTGCAGCCGCCACGCCCAGAACTGTTGCTCCGCTGTGCCTCGGCGATCGCATCTCCAAATCGACATCTCGTTTGATGAGAGCAGATACCGCAGCCGTCTGCCCGGCCTCAGCTGCGACGAGCAGTGCTACGGAGAGGTCCGGCGGTTGGCCAGGCAGAAGTGCCAGAACAGCTGCGTGGCCTGCCTGTGGGGAGACGCAAGTCGGTTCGTTTGCTTTTGGCGTAACAAAAAAGAGAGCCCCTGAGCCATTAGCAAAACCGCGACGCCCAAATCACGACCAAGAGATGCAGTTTACTCCCACTCTTAACGCCGCTTACACTGCCGTATGACTTTCATCAAGCTATGCAATTTGAAAAGGAAAAAAATGCCCAATGTAGATCTAGTTGTTGCTTGCCACAGGCAAGACGATGCAGCAGGTGGCGGCCAAGATTGCATGTCCGTCCATCTGGCATGTCCGTCCAGAAAGTTCTGTTCAATCCAGTCGATCAGGAAACTGCAGTTGATGAAAAAGGAGCTTCGATCCCACCTGAGCTGCGGCGGAGAGGGCCGTGAGCCCGAGATCGTTTGAGTGGGAAGGGTCGGCGCCGGCTTGGAGCAGGAGAGAGACGACGTCCACGTGGCCAGCACTGGATGCCGCTAGAAGCGCCGTGTCGCCGCTGTTGTCGTAGCCATTCACCTGGAAAACATGGGTACCGTTCCACATTTTCAACATCACCAGACGAGTTTGCATAGAATCTAACATACGGAGACATTATCAGCAGTTAATTGGATGCGGGACATTATTGGAGCCGAGTTGCGTGTATTGACCCCATTTCGGCACGAAGCTTGTTCACACTGCCCGTTCGCATGTGAGAGAGTTGGCCTGGGCAGATTGCAAAATTTCTACTCTGACCGGCGATTCAACAGGTGCGGGAGCTCAGTAGGCCGCATGAAAAATTCGCAACTGAGCTGCCTTTCATTGTGCTGCGACATTCACTGCATGAACGGGTGGAAAACAATCTGTCTGCAAAAAAAAACTCCCGAGAAAACACACAGTTTGCCTCAAATGTGCTCAAGAATGGTTAGCGCAGTTATTTTGCACTGGAAAACATGTACCTCTTGTTGAATTGCAGCGCGGACCAAAGGGTCTAAATGTTCTGAGCGACATCAATTGAACCTCTATCACTTGCAACCATACGAATGTCTTCAGGTGACAACACGGTCAGACAGAAACGCAGACAGCCACTTGCAGCGCCGCAAAGTTCAGGTGGTCTGGGCTTCGACGGCGCACATGTGCGCACTCCCGTGTGCCGCACGCATGCTCATGCGCCCTTCTTCGCCTTCAGGATGCGGCGGCACTGCCTGTCTTGCGCGCACACGATCACACTCCGAAAGGATTCGGCAATCCAAAGGATTTTGCATTCCACGCGTGTCCTGCCCGTGTCGAAATCGCGCTCAATGGCTACAAACATGCACTGGCAATGCAATGAGGTAAGGCCGACTGGTGACACATACGAAACATGCTTCGGAGACGCGTTTTTTCACAGCCTATTACCCTCGCTAGTCAGGCTGGTATACTAGCCTGACTATTTTCACAGCTGGATAGAAAATGAGTGCGAAAGTGCGTGAGTGAATGCCTCATAGTAATACGAGGCTAATCGAGCTACTGAAGGCCCCTGACCTGCGCGCTGGCCTCCAGCAATGCGACAACGATAGCCTTGTGGCCGAACCTCGCCGCCAGTATGAGCGCCGTCGAGCCGTCATCCCGGGCAGCGTTGGGATCGACGCCGTTGTCCAGCATCGAATTGATGGCGGTGATGTTGCCGCTCTCTGCGGCTGTGAACCATGCTTCGTTGGCGCCAAGGTTCTCGTCTTTGAGCACGGCGGGCAGGTCGTCGTCTTCCTAGAAGGACGCGACCACATCGACACCATCAACTCCACGTTCGCTTAATTCTGATGAAGGTGTTGATGGCATGTACTACCAGATTCGCTAGCGCTTCTGGTCGTTGTGCAACGGTCTAGTGCCAACAGTCAGCATCTTCGTAGATGTCTACATCCGTGAGAGCTTCCTGAGAAAATTGCGACAGAGGCATGTAGTGTCGAATTCAGCACTTGTAACTTGGATAGAAGCTGATGCAGCATTGCCAGCGCACAGCAATTGATGCAATTCTGTGGAACCCCATCGCAGATCCATGTATCGGCATTCAGACAGCGTTGGAATCCAGGTCAACGCTATACCACCACTGAGGCGTTTCTGAAGCGTTTCTGGACATTCCTCAATGGGACATATTGAAAGCGTTGCATCAACTCTTTTTGAAGCAACTAGAAAGAGTGCTGGTGGGGCAGCCTTTATGCTTTCGTTTTCAGCATGACGCTTACAGCCAGAGAGTCAAAATTCAGCAGGCGCAGAACTTCCGCTTGAAGGGAACATATGACGCCCAAGTCTGATGACATCCACCACACACCCTTTGCTTAATGCCCCAGATTGACTCCGCACGTACGTATAGACTACTGCATGTTGTAAGTAAGTTTTGAATGAGAGCTCCTTATGGATACGAGTGCTGGACCACAACGCCGAAGTGCATCGAATGTCTTCACCCTTCCTCCTAAACATAACCAACTCGCCACCCTCCCACCACCCACGATGTGTACCGCCATATCAGGGCCCCATCATCTACTACGTAAGCTGCACATGTACATTTGTAGGTGCCTCAAAGAATTGTTGGGGTATCTGTTACCCAAAAAATATCGAGTTATCAGTCAACACTTTAGCAGGCCAATGGAGCATTCACGGGTATGCTAGCTGCTGACAATTTGCCTTGCATGCTGACAAACATTGTTAGCAAGAGAGACTGCTATGGTTTTGTCAGATATCACATGTCCTCTTTTTGTGTGGCTGGCATACAGGGTGCGCCAGTGGAAAGGGGAGGTGGATTTCAACAGCATGCGCCAAATAATGAGTGCATGAAACGGCAGGTGTGGGAACCATGGAAAGTCTCCCTCCACGTCAACATATTGTGGTTGTTGCTATCTGCATGGGGCCCATAATCAAACTAAACTTATGACCCATTATGATCGTCGTATCATGGACACCGAATCACCTCTAAAGGGACAGGGCCGGCCGCTAGTCCCTCTCTCAGAGTCGCACTTGGATTTTGTTGGAAAAGATTGCGGGCCTCGGTCACTGAGCAACACAAATAAGCAGATTACGGAATGCTGGTTTGCACAAATTATACAGCAAGGCACATTGTCCCATCTGTCATGCCACGTTGTGTCCATTATCGCGATGGAAGGAGAACTTGTCGTCAAGCCGGCGGATTCTCATGTAGACATCAACTTCGATGGAAAAACGTACACCACAACAGAAAGAACCAAAAAAGGTTGACAAAATAAGAATTATTTGCATGACACAATCTTGAGGGGACCGCTCTCACAAGCTACAGGTCGTATCAGATGGGCTCTTCGATGCCAATACAGCCGGCGGTGTTGAAATGCAAAGCCGAAGCCGAATTTGCCATGTGGTCATGCGGGCAATAACAATATGCAATGCAGTCGACTTGTGAGTTGTTGAACAAACTGTTCGCCCAGGTATATCGGGCCAATCAATATAGATATTTTCACTAGCACAGAAACTCATTAAGACACTTTTGGTAGACATTCTCGCTGTCGGGGCTTGGCTGTTTCCTTGAAGTTGCAGTTAACAAATCAGAATGTAATTTGGGACCTGCTTGGGAAATTCGCTTGACGGTCGCCTGGGGAGACGGCCGCCACAGCCGAGGTACAGATTAAACATGTGGTTAGTGTTTTACGATTCGTTTCTATTGGAGTGCGGTACTTCATCAATACAGTATGCTCAGATATTTCGCAGTGTCCACGTGCGCAGTGCACGCACACCGCGATTTGAATAATGTGAATGTGCAATACATATCCACTTCCATTGATGTGCACTCGATGTGTTATTGCTGCGTTGTTACCCACGCTCATATATCGTGGACCATTTATCCAAGTTTCAACTGTTAAGCAGACACCGGACGTGGAGATTCCAATGAATACTGTCCACATGTAGGCGAACCAGTTGTTCTGGCACTCACGAGCCCAAGCCAACTCTCGACCTGCCTACCAATGCCCTTTGAGTGCAATGTCGGTCACTGAAAAACCACCCCGGCAAGATGTGTGCGCGCGGCCCACGCCCCATGGTTGTGCCATCCGCACGGAACAGCGAATTTCGAAATATTGTGCCGCAGAAATCACCCATGACCTCGCGCGACCTGCAGACATCTGCTGCGGCATCACTCCCGTCGATGGGTTTGCAAGCGCGCCGACTCTCACGAATTGCGGCGTCGCAAACCCCACCCACAATGGCGGAGCATCCATGCTGATCGCTGCGGCAAATCGCCCAAAGCCCCCATGGGCGGTCCTCGTGATGACATCCGCTCTCCCTCCGATCACTCGCGAGTCGACACCGCACGGTCATTGCTCGTCTCTGGCTGTCGGTGAACGGGACGCGGGCCACAAATTCCAGCATTCTCCCCTCCCCCCACCCCCGGAGTCTCTCACACACCTGCTCAGGAGGGACTGTCCTTTGTGCGACCTGCTTCTCCTCTCCTTGTAACAAATCTTACCCCTTCAGCCCTCCACCCCCCCCACCCCAAGCCGCTGGATTCGCAAGGGATGTCAGCATGAACGACTGCCCGGCCTTCGGCTCCAAAGATTGCGCGCACCTCTGAAACGGCAGTGCCCCAAGGCGGCCATGAGTACCGCGATTACGGCCGCACGTATGGCCGACCTTCCGCCCATGCCGGCTCACTGCTCCCCACCCGCAAGCCCGCAAGTTCGGGGACCAGGGCTGCAGGGCGCTTCTGGAAACCTGCCACTGGGCCCGCCCTCCGCAACCCGCCACCTCGCCCTCCGCCCGACACGGCCCGGTGTGGGCGGAAATGCGAGGGCGGTGCTGATACGACGTTCGTGCGACTGAAGGGCAAGGGAGGATGATCGCGCTTGGGGCGCCGGCGCACCGCCCGGCACCCACCTTGGGAACCATGTCAGCCATGGCGCATTTCGCACGCTGATTTTGAGGAAAGTGGTGCAAGGCTTTGTACTTTATAGCACTGCGTTGCAACACTGTTTACAGGTTCGCTGCGAAACCGAATCAACGCAGTGTACTCAGCAATTTCACATTGCTCACGTTGGCAATGCGCGCACACCACGATTTGGATCATGTGAATGCGCAATACCTATCCACTTCCAGTGATGTGCACACCCTGGTCATGATAAGTGATTCGTTTATCGCAGAATCGCATGGCAAAACATGTATGTCAGTCCGAAGGACATTGATAAGGCTGTGAAAGCTCCGGAAAGCCTGCTGACTGCCTAGGAGAAGACTGTTTTAGAGTGTACTTTTGTGCTTCCAGTTGCACAGCAATTCACTAGCAAAAAGGGGACCAAATAACACTTTTGCGAACACACATAAAACACATTTGATCAAAATTCTGCACGCTGAGAACACAAAAATAACCCGAACCCGTAAACTTTGTACACGTATGAACACGTGTTATTTGGCCCTTTCTTTCCCAGTGATTGCTCCATGGCAAAATAGTGCAGTGCTGAAATCAGTGCGCCATCTTTGGAGCATTTGAAGGGTTGGCAATCGTCGCCGGCATCGAATTGGCTCGTCGCTTGCTGCTATGGCTCCCATTCCTGAGGCAATTGATTCTGCGAGTTGTTGTCCATTTTATTTGACTGGAAGTTAGTCAAAGAGTCCAGCGGCCCACGATACCACACGGCGAACTGCGCGAATGGCACCTGTAGAACATCCTGAGCGCTCAGGATTCATTGTAATCGCTTGCTAGGATAGCGGAAATTGCATGATCCTAGGTTTTTGCATGATGCTGCTTCTTGCTTGTATTCCGTACAATTGTACGGAATACATTGTACAATGTATGCTGCAGATGCATCGACAATGTGCATCTGTGCTAATTGCGGTAACGCCGCCCTGAAATGGCGAATTCCGTGCGGAATCCACACAGTTCAGAGGCTGCGTCATACAGAGCATGGGAAGCCATGTAGACACGCTACCCTAGCGGGAAGGGGAATCTGGACCATGCAAGATTGGCTTTGAGGCTGCTCGCAACGGACTGTCCCTTGACAGTTTGCGTGATCTCATCTGGAGGTGTTGGCGACCATGTCAAGGCTGGGCACTGACGCCAGTCAGATACATAACAGATGCGGATCGCAATTGGGAGATTTCGTTGATCACGTCGAAATAGCTCTTGGATTTCTGAATACCAATTCATCTGTTTGCATTCTCGGCGGATATTCTGGTGTTGGGGTCGCGCTCATGAAGCCTGAGTGTAATTGACCAAGCCCACCCTGAGCGCAGCGGGTAGGTCGAACACCTCCAATGCCCGGGCGCGCCCAAGGCCTTGAAGTTTACAGGAGTAGAAGAGCTGCGTGGGAACGTGGCATCGTGAGTCAATTCTTGAGTGCAAGAAACCCCCTGGTGATCCGGGATGATGGAGTGTGTCGGATTCTAGACGTTCGAGGAATCATTGGTGAGCGTGTCTTGGCGCTCTGCAATGCACTGGTGCGTTCTGCGCTGACTTTCCGTACTCCCAATAAAAGTGCTCTCGGCTGCGGTGTGGAGCTTTGCTGGCAGAGAAGCAAGAAGCGTAACTTCCTTGTGTTAAATCTGGGAAACCTGGTTTGATGCGGTTTACACAAATCAAGCAGCTTCAAAGTCAGCACACCTGATGTGTGTTCCAAATGTCGCAGGCCTTGGTTCTTAGCTTGATGTGCAACTGTGCGGACGGACGGTTCGTTCGCGAATTGGCGCACGGACGTTGGCTAATTCGCGAACACTGACCGATGACAGCACTTCTGTCCTTTAATCCACGGACTTGAGTAGATCAAGGAAAGGATGAGAAAACCCAAATGGATTCAGCAATGGTGCTGGCGATTGCGAGGACAACAAATCCAGTAATGGGTACTCAGAAAGAACCTGTAGTGTAACCTACAAATGATATGCAATGGGCCGAAGAATTTCAATGTACTACTGAAGATAGAAGTAATATCACAGGATAGACATGAAAAAGGTGTCTCGTGCGGCGACGGGATGTTTTTTATTGATGAATTTTCTACTTAATCTGGGTATATAGGTGCAAAATAAGCAATTTTTCAATGCCGTATTATCCTTTTCATTGAGCAAGTAAGGAGCGACTTCCCTGAAGTGAGGTGCATCAGATGGGACATGCAGGGCGCAAACAGAGGCGATGCAGAAAGTATTTGAATTTTTTGGATGCTTCTAGCATTGTGGAGATGATGGAATAGAGTGCAGCATGTTTTGAGCCGCCTCAATGTCTTAAAAACTCTACTGAGCTCCTTGAAGGGTGCCTATTCATCAGGGAGAGGGCAGCGCTTTGTATCTAGTTGGAGCTTTTGTGGAAAACTGGCCGCATTTGAGTGCAGCATTTTAGCGCTTTCATGAATCAATGCTCTGTGTGGTCACTAATGGAGGACAATATGTCAGCATCCCGAATTTCTCGGCGCGTTGTCTCTCACATTACAGACATGTCTGTCATGTCAAACATGTCATGTTTGGTGCATTGCAAACATGTACATGGTATGAGCCCTTGGTATTGAGCATTTGCATCCAGGCATTGCCTGGCTGCCAAGGTTCTATTGTATCCAAATTGTGGGTCCAATGTACCCACACTCTCGTTTGTTTGGCCCACTTCCACGCAGATTTTCACCACGATTATCCAGAGAACCGTGAATTGCTCCACCTGGCAAAGTCCATCAGGTGCGTCAATAGGATCACCATGCTGACTGGAGGCTTTCTCATCGATCGTCAGTTTGACTGTCATTCCATATGCTGACAAACATGGCATAGCTCATCAACGCAAAGCTATAGATCTATATGCTGGCTTGGACTACCGCCAGAGGGTTTGGAAGATGACCACCAGCTATACTCGTAGGTTTGTTTTGCTGCCCACATATGCACAGCAAAACCCAACCTTAGACAGTCCTATGTGTAGAACGGGGGATTTACGGAAGCTACTAGCTAGTCAGTTTGCACTTCAGCCGTATAGATGCTTTTTACAAAGAATTCGGCAGCAATTGTGAGAGAGCCAATATTGCTAATGGGATATCATCAGACACTGGCATGTCTATGCACCAACATGCATAGCGTACTCCCGTAGCATACGATGGGATCCTCAAGGCGCTTGAGAAATCACAACAGGGCAAGGAGATTGCCTGGGCGTACAAATATTGCTCATTGCCTCATCATTCCAACAATCGATATGCAGGTTCAGCGATTTACATACATGTATAAATTGCACTAGCCTTCATCTCCAATGCAACGAAGTTATGTGAAACATGCAGTCAGCACAATCATGGCTGGTGTCGGATCAGTGTAGCAACAATTCCCTAGTCACATATGGTGCGCCCCGACATTGATCATAAATGTTGCTACAATTGCTATCATAGCAACTAGAAGATTGGTTCAACAACAAGAAACAACGAGGATTGAAATGAACTCGTGATGGGCCCCATCTTCCCGGTGTTGGCCTTCATTCAAAACTAGACACGCAATGTTGCCGGTCTAGCAAACATTGCTCATTTGCAGTATTCCTAACTGTGTTCAAATCATACCAAATATGGGTAGATCGTATGTCTGAAGTTTAATCTGTGTTCAAATGAAACCAAATCGTCATCTTACCCTTGATGCTATTGATTGCCAATGGAGCGCCTTAGTCGTTGAGTGCAAACTATAATTATCTAGCCGCTCACAGTGCTTTTTGTTTATACATTGGCATAGCACAGTTGGATGCATTTTCCGTTGCCCCGCATTGAATGCCACGCTTCTATTCTTTTACCCACATATCAGTATCAGGCCCACATTTGCAATATCCTAGCATTCCAAAGAGCTTTGCAACCCACTAAAATTTGGCTTCACTCACCATATTTTGGAAGTATTTCTTTTGCCGCTATAGTAGTTTCTGCTCCCTTTTCTGTGGCAATTCTCCAACAAATTCAATCCACTCACACATCCATGCACCCAGTGTTAAGGAAATCTAAGGGGGTAATTATTTCCCGCTTAATTTCCATCATTACAGGAAGTGAAAGACCATTATTGAGGTCACCAGCGATTCTGGGACGCTTGAGCACTTGGGCCCCAAGGTTTCTAAGGGAAAGTCCCTAGTGTTGGACTTCCCTCCTTAATTGGAAGCCTTTGTCCCCTTATAGTACTGTGGGGGACCTTTTATAATGTTATTGGATACATTGGGGGCGGTCTCCCTTGGCTCCGGTACGAAGGGGAGCACCTGGGGCTGAGTCATGCCCCGTTTGGGTTGCGTGGCCTCCAGGAAGTTTTTGGACGCTTGACGCAGTATAAAAAGGGCAGCTGTTTGCCCTTTTGTAACACTCGTTTCTTTTTGTGACTGATCTTCAGTCATGCCCACGCGAGGCGTACCCCGCGGTACGCCAACCTTGTTGCATCCGCCCCCGTACAGCCGCTTCCGCGCCCGCCACGGGCCGCGTCCCCTGGGCCCACCGCGTGGACCGTTCCAGCGAGCGTCCCGACCGAGCGCCACCCGGGGCCCGAACATTCCGGGCCGGGCGAGAGGGGGATCGACGCCGCCGCGTCTCCCCACCGGACGCCGCGAGAGGCCGAGGACCGGCGGCACCGAGCCGCCGAGATTCTGGCGCATTGCGCGCCGTTGCATTTTGGTTTCGGAGCCAAGAGACGAGCCGGACGAGCGGAAATGGGACAGCAAGGGCAAAGGAGTTGAAGGGAC